AAGTGTGCTCAAATAGCTGGGGGCAAGGTGACAGAGAGAGAAACGACTGAACGGGATAACAAGCTCAGAGAGGAGGGGTACTCTGGGTGGGTGTGTGTGTTTGGTGGAGTAAAAACAAGGAGGAAGGGGTGAGAGGGGAGTAGAAGTTGAGGAAAACGAAAACACAGAGAAAAGCAGGTGTGCTGTTAGGTTCGACCCTGTGGCCAATTAGGTCATAACGGTCCATGTCTCTGAGCTGTAACTGTACAAGTCAGTGTATGCATTAGTGTTAGTTCTGAGTGTGAGGCGGGTCTACTGGGGCACGCTGAAGAGCGCCTTCAGTTCAGAGGTTGGAGAAGCAGTTTTTCTAGCCGTCAGGACTCACACACCCTCATCCGTACCCACATCTGCTTTTTTTTTTTTTTCACCCCCTGCACACCAACAGCCGCCCCCTGTGTCATACGTGCACACTTAATGCACCACGTGTGGCAGTAAATTGTGCACGGATACACACATTTCTATGTTTTGATCTGTGGAGATAACACACGCACACACACACACACATTTGGAGGAAAGCCATTATGCTCTCAGGCTGGAGTGTTTGGATGGTATAATTGCAGTGACCAGTGAGGAGAAAGAGACAGAGGGAGGAGGGATGGAAAGAGGGATGATAGAAAAGAGAGGAGAGAGCTGACACTCTCAGCATGCTAATGCTGCGAGGCTGTACCCCCCCTCTATCTCTTTGTTTCTGTCTCTTTCTGCATTTCACAGGTGGAGCACTAGGATGGGGGGTGGGATTAAAAGGTAGAAAGAAAGAGAGATGGATATATAACAGGATGTAGCATTGTTATCTCTCTTTCACTGCCATCCCTCTATCCTCTTCAAGTACCCCGCAGTGGTCAAAACAAAGCCAAAGAGAGAGGCAGAGAGTGATACAGGGGGAGGTGGAAATAGGGGAAGAGGGAGGGTCGGTTTTTTCCATCCCTATAACAATAAAAGGATCATCTCTGCTTATCCTCTAATCTCATCCCTTCTTTTTTCTCTCTCCTCCAGCCTCTGCTATCGCTCTTTCCCCATGACCCCTCGTTTTCTCATCTGGTTTGGGGAAATGGCCACCCCTCCATCTGTTTCCAGTCCTCCTTTCATCCCCCTCTATCCTCTCTCCAGAGAAAGGATTCTGCTGTTTGCTTTTTGTTTTCTACCCCCCCTCTTCCTTTTTAACCAATAACTTTCCATCCACACTGAAACTACAGCAAAAAATAACTCATTTGTAAAGTATGTGAATTTTTTTTAACTTGTTTTATCCTTATGTGTTGCGTAAAAATACATTTACATTTATATTCCTCCCCATTGATTTAATACTTTGTAGAATCACGTTTCCCTGAAAGTAGAACTGCACTCCTTTTATGATGTCTCTCTATCGGTTATGCAAACCCTTTAGAAAAAGACCTTTGCCCATTATTCTTTGCAAAATATGGTTAGTCTATATCATCTGTTTATAGAATTTTAGAAGTTCTGCCATACGTTTTCAGTTGGATTTAAATCTGGACTTTGACTGGACCATTCTGACCATAATATATCTACATTTTACCCTTTTGTTTGCATTTCTTGCTATATTTCTAAAATCAGGGTCTAAATCTTTGCTCAAATCATCCTTAAGGCATGATGTTGCCACTACCGTGCTTTGGAAATGGTGTTATGGAGATAATGACTTTCTTCTTGTCGGTCCTCCATAAAGGTGGAGTTGTAAATAATAGCTGTCTGGATATCAGATTTCCTCAGCTTTTGATTTCTGGAGCTCCTACACAGTTAGAAAAAGCTACTAAGCTGATACTATGGTAACAGTCTTGCCATTTACACCACATAAGCATCTAACGATAAGTAAGTATGTCTTGAAATAAGTGTATTTTCACTTAATTTAAGGAGGTAAATAGAATGATAAGGAAATTGTATTTTTGTCCTTAAAATAGAACAACTAGATACTATGCACTTAAAAGAAGATAATTAAGTTTTTGTTTATTATTTTAAACATAAATCATCTTATTCTGATGGCAAATTGTCTGCCTTTTCTGCTCAACTTAGGGGAAATACACTTATTTTAAGAAAATTTGACCTATACTAAGATTTTGATGTTTGCATAGCACAATAGTTTGGACAGAGCTCTGTTTAAACAATCTTCTGTAACCTAACTCTGATTTAAACTTCTCCACACCTTCCTTCCTGATCTGTTTGAGGTGTTTGTTGTTCTCCATGATGCTGCTCGTTCACTCATGTTCTAATAAACATTTGAGGCCTTTACAAAGCAGGAGATTCATAGTAAAGTTATGCCACACAGGGAGACTCTTATGTCCTAAATAGGTATCTTCTATAGCAGCTGATTGAACTGGGCTCAGTTTAGGAAAGTCATGGTGAAGGCGGCAGCACACAGCTGTGCACCGCATATTCCAGATGTTCATTTTGAACAAAGTACTGTATGGTGGACTGTCTCAATCAACCAACTAAAATACACTACTTAGAATATGAATGATGTGAAAAGAAACTGATATGAATACCTTAGCAGACCTGTGACATAGTTTAATCACAAGGTGAAATAAAAAAATGTAATATTATAGCTATCTTACAAAAGATTGAACTAAAATAAGCTTTAATGAATTAATGAAAAACATAAGGTTGGGGTGGATCCTATTGGACTCTTAAAGTAAAAAAAAAAGAAAACAAAATCTCTCTCTATATATATATATATTTATACACTGTTATTTTGTTGCAATGTTTACATGTCTTTGCAGGTGATGAGACAGATTGAAGATGTTTTATCATTATCTCCCTTTTATCTCCTCTTTCTTTCAGCTTTTCTCCTGCTCCCTGCATGAATTAATAAATAAAGCAATTTATATGCATAAATCAAGCGGAACACTATGGCGATAGACGTATTGCTCCACTTGTGAAAGCAAAATCTGTTGGGCTCTTTTTGGCATCAAGACAATTATTCTTATTGACACATTGCCAGACAGGAAACTGTAAAAAAAAAAAGAAAAAAAGAAAAGAAAAAGAAAATTGAAGATTCTATGAATTAACACGTGGAATTATATACTTAACCAAAAATGGCGAAACAACTGAAAATATGTCTTATATTCTAGGTTCTTCAAAGTAGCAACCTTTTCCTTCCCAAATGTCCACTTTCAGGTTTAATAAGAGGGATTTTTTTGCCAGCAGTTGAGACCAGATAGTCCTACTGGATAGACTGTTAGAATTTGTATTATGGCAAGAAAAAATTGGCTAAATAAAGACTAGAAATTAAGCTTAAGTGAAAAATCAATCTGGAAGACTCTCATCAGCTTCACCTGATTCACCAGCAATATCCCTCATTCAGCTCCAGCCAATCAGCACGGGGGCAGCACCTTCTTCGAAGCCAATCATTTTGGCTGAACATCAACCTTTCATTTAGTTCCTGGCGTAGCTTTTCTCTCCCGCATGCAAGCAACCTTTCACCCACCTCTGCCCCATCTCCTCCTTCATTCTCAGGGAGTCCCACTCACCCTCTTATTCCACCCCAAGTGTCCGGGCCACGGGTAAACTACTCTAATCCTTTTCTAGGTTACTCTTCAAAGAATATGTTGATTCACATCTTCTTCCGGTTAAACAGAGTTTTCCTCTCCACTATTGCTACACTCATGCTCAGTGCGATGGACTGCAGAGTGTTAATGAGTCCTCGCAATCAGCTGGTTTTCCTTAGAAATATTTTGAAGAATATGATTGTGCTACCTGTATAAGTAAATCTAATATTTTTTAACTGCATCTTTTCTCTGTGTGAGCCTCACTAGGTTGTATATAGATTAGCTTATTCTTATTTAATGAGTTTTAAAGTGGTTCAAATCTTAAAACTGAAGCTTCGCTCACTATAAACCATCACAACCATCAACCGTCAGATCAATTCAGGTTTTACCGCTCTAAAATGTGGGACACTGCAAGCATCTGTGTCCAGTCTTTTTTTATTCCAGTTTTAGATATTGTATTTAATTGCAATGGAGGAAATTTGGATTTGTAACAAAAGGTATACAACCTTTTTCATCAGGATTAGGTCATATCTTAATGTATCTAATATTTAGTAGCACCAGAGAAATTCTGGTTTCTATTTCCTCACTAACCTGAGAAGCAGCCAGATATCACTCAGCATAAACTACCCAAAAGGAATGCATACATAACAGGCAGGTTTTATAATAGCTATTATCAATGTGATTTTCATGAAGGGTTTAGCTGAAAACCTGGCATGAAGTGGGTGTTTAAAGTTTTGATGATGCATCTCAAACCACTTCTATTAGTTATTTTTTAGCTTTCCTAGGAGAATGTTTTTTTTAGATGGTCTCTATGGAGGACTAATCCTGCCTTCATTAAAAACACATACATAAACAAATTACTCATGGATATGATCCATTCTTAAAATTATAGCTTGAAATGTTGGTGAAGATTCTCAGTCATCCAAGTGATAGTCATTCCAAAAAAGTAAAAAAAAAAAAAAATCTACTGGACTTTGTTTCCAAGATTGAAGACGTTTGCTTCCATGAATCTTTTTCAATTCAAAATGTCAGAATTAGCATTGAGTTTGGGCGTTGGTAGAGCATCACCACTGAGCTTCTCTCCTCTTTCCACCATGTCAGACTCACCACTGGTAAGTGATAATGGAGACAAGCATGCAGGACAGCCTTAAGTAAACATATCACCAGAATGATTGACAATTAGGAGGGCCATTTATTTAGACGATCCACCCAGCAAAAAAACATCCTCCACCATACCTTTAATAAAATCACATTGTATAAATGAGAAAAAAATAAGAACCTTGGAGAAAAACTGTCTTTAGCAGCCTTCAACTTAAGATGAGCATCTGTCGGAATATCCTGACCAATCAGCAGCCCTTTTATTACAGCATCTTTCTTTTTTTTATTAATCTGCATGCCTCCTTTTACTGAAACCATGCAATTACTTTCTAAAAGTTTAAATAACTGCAATCATCACAGAAGCAGGAATTAATTGCTTGAAATATTTATTGGGATTCATTTACCACTTATTCCTCTCCAACAGAATCTGTACCAGTCAATAAATCACTGCTGAGGAGTTGGGTCAGATGAGTTGGAAGAACTGGACAGGTTCTCATTTCTGAAGATGAACTTCTTCTCTATACTGCATACAGTACTCAAGACATCTGAATGATGAGCAGATACTGTGTTAGGTTCAAAATGTCGAGGCTTCACCCTCTCGTTGAGCCTCTAAGTATGCATGAGGCTCTTTTGTGCTGTGTTGCTGTTCCAGAATCTCCACACATGTCATGTTTGTCCTGAGCCCAGACAGGTCTCGACCTAGCGTGGAAAAACTGATACATCTTACGTCCAGTTTAAAATACCATTGTCAAACCGGAACTTTTAATCTCTACAAACAAACATTGAATGAAGCTTTTTTTTTTAATGAAGCTCTGTGAGTAAATTCTCCAGGGTTACAACATTCAGGTCTCTATTTTATTCTTATTGGACCACAGAGCTACATAATCAGGAACACTTACATCTTTTTTGTAAGCTATTTATGACTTTTTAGCTGAGTACATGTTTACCTCCATATTTGATTCACAGTGAAGAGCTGCCTCCTCCTCAATTCTCCAGATGCTCCTTTGAGATATCCCAATAATTACTCCAGCAGCTGTTTGCGCGCTTTCCATTGTACACTCAAGGCTTGTGTGATTTTTTACTGAAATCACAGCTCATTATCTAAGCTTTGGTTGTAACATGATATACGTTTATAACTAAAATATGCTGATCTCAAATAAACATCTATAAGGTTGCATCTAACCTGCAGACTATGATAACTGAAAGAAAACATCTTTACGATACCAATAGTTTAAAAAAATGAATTTCTCTAAATGGAATAAACCTGAGGCACCCCTAAAAAGATCGAAAGCAAAGCAGGTTTCAGTTGGATGACAATTACAGCTTGATGTTTACACCGAGACAGTTCTGTGAATAACTCTCAAAGCACTGGGAAAAGGCATCTGTAACAGCTAATTTTCCAAAACTGCAATCATCAGCCCTTTATACAGCATTTTTATTTTTTTCCCATAAAATATAGGGTGCAATTGCTTTGTTATTTGAATAATGCACAATACTTAAGTCTTTTAAATCATGACAAAATAAAAAAATCACATATCTGCATAGAAAATGTAAAAGTTTAAAAGGTGGCTGGGAACTAAAAGAAGTTTTGATCAGATTGGCAAGCTAACGGTGGTAAAATCAGAACCTCCACTCTCAAAGCATTTATGATGGTTATACACTATTTTAGAGCCTTTTCTATAGTTGCACTGTTACATTAAGATGATTTAGACTATATCTACTATATCATGCCTTATACAGTACTCTAAGTACCATCTGAATGATGGAGGTAGATACCTGACTGGGTTTGGTTCAAAGATGTCCCGCTTCCACCCCCTTCTGGCCTTCCTAAGGTAGTTGCTGAGGACTCCTGTTTGCTGCTGTGTTGCTCGTTCCAGAATCTCCACACATGTCATTGTTTTCCAGTGAGCCTCAGACAGAGTCTCTGGACTCTGCAGGGGAAAAACTTGAATTAACATCTTTACGTCCAGTTAAAAATACCATGCGTCAGAACCGGAACTTTAACCTCTTACAAACCAAACATTGAATGAAAGCTTTTTATTTTTAATGATGCTCTGTGAGAAAGTTTTCCAGGGTTTACAAACAATTCAGGTCTCTTTTTTATTCTTCTTATCGACCACAGAGCTCACATAAATCAGAACACTCGCATCTTTTTTTAAGCTATTTTATTTTTTAGCCGAGTTATCTTTTTACCTCCAGTATGTGTCTCACAGTGATGGCTGCCTCCTCCTTCAATTCTTCCAGATGCCTCCTCTTGATGCTCAGTCCCTCTAATTCCTCCTGCAGCTGTTTTGCGGTGGCCTCTTCCTGGTGGTACACCTCAAGCGCTTTGCTGATTCTTTTACTGAAATCATAGCCATCATTATCTAAGCTTTGGTTGAACATGATATAACGTTTGATAACAAAATTATGCTGATCTCAAATAAACATCAGTATAAGGTTGCATCTAAAAGCCTGCAGACTTAATGGATAACTGAACGAATACATCTTTACGATACCAATGTTAAAAAAAATGATATTTCTCTAAATGGAAGTAAAAGCCCCTGAGGCACCCCTAAAGATCAGAACAGCTAAAGCAGGTTTTTCAGTTAGGAATGACAATTACAGCTTAGATATTACACCGGAAACAATGATTTTGTGAAGAACTCTCAAAAGCAGCTGGGAAAAATTGACTTCTTAGTACAAGTCTAAATGAATCCTCAGGCCTCTTAAACAGATTTTTATTTTATTTCCCATAGAAATATTAGGGTGCAACTTCGCTTTGTTATTCTGAATTAATGCCACAATTAACTTAACTCTTTATCATAAACAAATATTTATGAAATATGTGATTGTTTTATACCTTCAATTCAAATTTAAAGATAATTGCACCTGTTTACAGGGGCCTGTGTCCTTTGATCACAATAAAAGCATATCGAAAGTTTGCAACTGAAATACTGTCAAGATTTAATTTTTTCTTTGTAGTGAATGCCAATATTAGGTACAGTCCTTGCCCTACCAAGCAAGTATGCTTACAGTGAGGAAAATAAGTATTTCAACACCCTGCTAGTTTGCAAGTTCTCCCACTTAGAAATCATGGAGGGGTCTGAAATTGTCATTGTAGGTGTATATCCACTGTGAGAAACAATAAAAAAAAAAAAGAAAAAAGAAAAAACAGAAATCACAAGACCTGTTAATCTGCCTTCAAAATGTCCTCCTCTACTCCATTTATTATCATAAATTAGATGCAGCTGTTTGTGGTTGTTAGCTGCATAAAGACACCTGTCCACCCCATACAATCAGAAAGAATCCAACTACTAACATGGCCAAGACCAAACAGCTGTCCAAAGACATTAGAGACAAAATTGTACAAGTCCACAAAGCTGGAAAGGGTTAATGGGAAATTGCCAAGCACCTTGGTGAAAAAAGGTCCACTGTTGGAACAATCATTAGGAAATGGAAGAAGCTAAACAGGATTGTCAGTCTCCCTCAGACTGGGGCTCTATGCAAGATCTCATCTGGTGGGGTCTCCATGATCCTAAGAAAGGTGAGAAATCAGCCCAGAATTACACGGGAGGAGCTGGTCAATGACCTGAAAAGAGCTAGAACCACTGTTTCCAAGGTTACTGTTGGTAATACACTGAGATGTCATGGTTTGAAATCATACATGGCATGGAAGTTTCCTCTGCTTAAAGCAGCACATGTCAAGGCCAATCTTAAGTGTGTCAATGACCATTTGGGTGATCCAGAGGAGTCATGGGAGAAAGTCATGGGGTCATATGAGACTAAAATATAACTTTTTGCCCATCATTCCAATAACCAGGTTTGGAGGAAGAAGAATGATGAGTACAATCCCAATAACACTATCCCTACTGTGTAGCAAAAAACATGGGACAAGATTTTCTATGAGACTGCACTGTATTAAGGAACGGATAATCGGGCCATGTACTGCCAGATTTTGGGGAACAACCTGCCTTCCTTCGAGATAGTCAACACACTGACACAAATACAGACCAATGAAATGAAATCCTAGCATTTAACCAATCCCCTTGGGGAGCAGCGGGCTACCATTGTGCAGCGCCCAGGGAGCAGTGTTTTGACACTCTGACACTCTGGGTCTTGCTCAGGGACCCAGAGTGTTCCAGTCCAGAGGTTCTGAGTGGGGCTTGAACTCAGAACCTCTTGATTCCAAGCCGAAGCCCTAACTACTAGGCTGCCACTTCCCCTTCTACGGTTTGAAACCATTACTGGCCTGTACTTATATAGCGCTTTTTCAAGTCAGGAGACCTGACCAAAGCGCTTTACACTACATTCAGTCATTCACCCATTCACGCACACACTAATCTCCTTCCCTCAGTTAGAGCATTGAAGAAGCTGGGTCTTCCAACATGACCCGAAGCACACCGCCAGGATTAACAAGGAGTGACCCTGTAAGAACAGAGGTCAAACGTGGCCTACCAAGTCTCCAGACACTGCAATACAGAATCTTTGGAGGGATCTTAAACTCTGTGTTTCTCAAAAACAGCCCAAAAACCTGACTTGTCTAGAGAAGATCTGTGTGGAGGAGTTTAAAATCCCTCCTGCAGTGTGTGCAAACCTGGTTGAAAAACTATAGGAAACGTTTGACCTCTGATATAAACAAAGGCTACTGTACCAAATATTAACAATGATTTCCTGAGGTGTTCAAATACTTATTTGCAGCTGTATCATACAAAAACACACATTGTGATTTCTGGATTTTCTTTTTTAGATTATGTCTCTCACAGTGGACATGCACCTACGATGATAATTTCAGACCCCTCCATGATTTCTAAGTGGGAGACTTTGCAAAACAGTAGGGTGTTCAAATACCTATTTTCCTCACTGTACAGTTGGTATTACTCTGTCTTAAATGGATATATAGACTACTAATTAAAATTCATTTTTGGACATTGATCAAATAACAAATTATGAACAGATTTTGAATTAGAGAATAAAGGATAATAGAAGCCAATCAACACAGCTGTTTGACATTCTTTGTCATTAAGAGGGTCAAAGGGCACAAACATAATGCCACATCTTGAACACAGATATCTCCATTAAGCCTAAAATGTACATCAGACACTTTTTTACAATATCATAACAACTTAAAACATTCAGGGAAAACAGAGGCTTAAATTGGAACCATTTGGACTAAAATCTATTAATCTAATGGACAGTTGAGTCATTACAACAGCATTGTTAAAATCACAGGGAGAATAATGGCTGATTATTACGTCATTTTACAAGATTCAAATTACTTCTTATTCAAAAGATTTAAATTAGGTTTTTTTCTATTCCATTGGACCGCTGATATGAAAAACCTAACTTTTAGCTATTACCTGAATTATATGTCTGGATATATTATCTGTGTAGTTAAGCAACATATTGATACTAGTGTTGTATTAAAGGTATAGTGAAGGATTTTTGCAAATTTTTGAAAAGACCCATCCTCTCCACTCCAAAAAATGCACATGCACAACCCTGTACCCGCTCCCAAAAGAGAAACGCCTAAAAACGGTTGAGAACATGCACAAGCCCATTTCTCCTTGTGCACGCTCTGTTTAAAAGTTGCTGTTTGCATCGCTCATACAAGCTTACTTTCCAAAAGAAGATTTGCAATTTTTCCACAAGTCAGACTCACCACCGGAAAGGTATAACTGTAGGTATTGAAATGCTCAGTTAGAGAGAGCTCTATCTCCCTCCGTCCAATTATATATTTTAACACAATCCTAGAAAGAAGGGTTTTAGAAAAAAAAGCTACTATATCAGTAACATACACTCTTAAAAAAACACTGTTTCCGGGTATGCTGCTCTATTTAAGACTTTACAAAGATCAATGTGAATGCCTCTACCAGGTTACATCTTTACCATGGAAGCTGATAATTAATGAGCTAAGCTGCAGGAATCAGTGTCCCCCTCCTTAAGGTAAAAAGTTCATAGCATTTAGCCTGCTGTATTTGGATGCTAACGCAGAAAGCTCATTAAAACCTGTCCTCATTGTTAAGTTTGAGCTGTAGAAACAAAAGATTCAACATTACCTTAAAATTTCATTCTCAGCCCAGATGATGTCCTGCCCTTTTATCAATTCAATTTTTTCCACTTCGAGTTCCTGACATTTCTCCATGAGAGGCTCAATATCCTAAAAAGAAGGACAATAAAGATTTTGCTACTACTGTAAGTAGAGGGAATGTGTAACCCTTTTTGGGATGTATGGAGAAAATGCATTCATAACACAAAACAGGTTGATCAAATCCACCTTACATATTGAAACATTAAACATAGTCAATTTTATCAGTGATAGAGGGGTCAAAATTGCACCTCAGTACATCTCAGATAAAAAAAATAATAGAATCAGAAAAAACGTATTTTTGAAGAATCATAATCACAAGAAACATAAGACTTAAGGTATCCTAAATTTCTGCAGGATAATAGTATAGCAGCTTTGAAGAGCTGCCAAGCTAATCTGATTAGTTATATTATTAGATCAGATTAGTTACTCGGTCCAATTGTGATGGGCGAAAAAGACCTAAAAATGTTGTCCTGATACTGTATCGTATCAGACATCCATCCTACCCATCCAAACATTTTTTATCTCTGCTGGGAAGAGGCAGGGTACACCCTGGACAGGTCGACAACAAAGAGATAAACAGGACAAACAACTATCCACACACTCACACCTAAGGAGAATTTAGAGAAGCCACTAAACCCAACAGTCATGTTTGTAGACTGTGGGAGGAAGCCGGAGTACCTGGAGAGAACCCATGCATGCACAGGGAGAACATGCAAACTATAACAAGACCCTTGGCCAGAAATCAAACCCAGAACCTTCTTGATTGCAAGGCAGCCCAGACTGAGCCCCACTGAGAAGCCCAGACATAAGCAGACAAAAAAGTACCTAAAATATCTGCAGTCAAAGCCCAACATACACATAAATTGTCTTTAAAAACACATTATTTGAAATAGGCTCCTTCAGGACGGCTATAACATTCAGATGGTTGGGTCTGAATTTATTACGGGTCCATCCTCCCTCCTATCAAAGGTTAAAGCTGGTAAGGGTGAAGGGGGTATTTTTGCCAAGCTGGTTGTCTTCCCTCAGGTTATAACATTTCATAATCAGGAAATAATATTTTTAGGTCAAAACTGATCCTTTACGTGATGAAGACCCCAGGTTTGTTAAGCCAAATATTCCCTTTGAATAGAGTAAACACAAAAACACCAAAGACTCTGAAATAAGATTCATAAATGCAGCTGTTTAACATTTCCAAATGGTAAAAGTTGAAAACAGATTAGTTCTGACGTACCTTCTCTTCAGCACTTTTTTGAAGACTCAGACTGGTAATCTTCCTCATAAGGCCACGATTCATGTACTTTAAATATTCTTTTCTGCTTTGCAAGTAACCTAACTTCTTCAGAATGCAGTTAAGGATCTCCGGGGACTGCAGAGCTTCGGATAGCTTCCTGTTGCATGCTCTCACCATTTCAAAGGGGTTTTCCAATTTAGTTTTCTCAAGATTCTCCTTTAAAACCGGTAAGGACTGGGATATCCTGTGTTTTGACAACAAATCAAGAGGAAAAAATTCATTAAGGGCCAAAAAGAGACCAGATAAGCTTGATATTTATTTCAAACTTTACTTTTCAAAGTCCAACTTTAGCCTGTGACTAGTAGCTTCTTGCTCTGCTATCTCCTTCCTAAGCAGTTCATTGTAATGTTCTTCCTCAAACACCCTCTGCCTTAGCTCCGCAGTGAGTTTCTCATTCTCCTCCAAATCAACGACTAAAAGAAAGAAAACGAGTGCATAAACAGAAACAAATGCCCACGGAGACAAGGCAGACAATTACCAGCTGGAGGTCACAAGAAAAGACACAATATAATAATATTGTAAAAACGTAAGAGGTATACTTATTTAATTATGATACTGTGTGTTATTGTTGTCTTAAAAAAAAACAGTGCTTGTCTCAAAAAACATGTTTTCTCTATGTTCAGTTGATTTGCTTATGTTTTTAAATGGAATATTTCTCATTTTGACCTAAATATGCCTTCTCTTCTAACTACACTTTGTTTTATCCTTTCCAAGTTTTGTTTTGTCCTTTGTGCTGTACAGGTTATCTGCTAAACTATATTCCTTTTATGTTATTTTATCTCGTCTTGTAGGTTTTTTGTCTGCCAATATTAAGCCCCAAATTTTCTTCAGTGTAACATATTTAGCTTAATTTCAGACAAAAATGACTCAACTGATTACAAACTGTTGTTTTAAAATTATAATGTTATTTGAAGAGGTAAAAAAGCTCCAAACAAACCTGGCTATGTTTACAAAAAAAGCCTCTACGCTATAGTTATAATCATAAAAACAATTTTGGGGATAATTTGCTGCATTTCAAGAACAGACCATCATTACTGACCATCAAACATGGCAGTGGTAGTGTGATGTCTGGGCTATTTAACAGCTTCAATACCAGGACAACCTGCTATAATTGATAGGACCATGAGACCATTTATCAACAGAGGTGAAAAACATTAGAAAAAGAAACTTTGAACCAAAAATGGAAGGAATCAGAATCCAGTTAGCAGAGCTACACCAACATGCAGCCACCTTAAGCAGCGCAATTCTAGAATATTTTTATATTACATCTCAGGGATGGAGGGTTTAGGCTGTGGAGTCCATTATTTCTCAGACATTTTTAGATTTTCTTTTAACCAGGTTTTCTTTGTCTGACATTGTATTTATATTAGTTTGATGGTCTGGAGCCTTCTAGTGTGTCAGAAAAGACACCACTGAGAAAATCTGCAGAGGGGGTGAATGCTTTTTTTTTTGTTTGTTTGTTTATTAATTTTTGGTTTCATAACAACAACAAAAGATAACAAAGAGCAGAACAAAAGCTCAGCAGTGCAGTCCAAATGAGACAGAAAAAGATAAAAATAAAAAAGGGGGGGTGCTTACTTTCATCATGATATTGTCCACATCTAAACATTTATGAATGCCCGTAACAGAATAGTAGACACGCGTTCTTCAGCATAATCCAAAAAGGGACTCCATATGCGTCCAAAAATGTCAGTCTTAGAGTGGAGGAGGCACGTTAGGAAATCAAGAGAGATATGTTCCAAATCAAGTTTCTTCCATCCAAAAATACTGGGAGTGTCACAGTCTTGGTTTGTTAGTCCCTGTTTTCTTGGTTTTCCATTTGTTGTCCTCTGCTGCCCTCTTGTGTCCTCTTTCCCTAGCTCTGTTTTCTGCTCTGCCCTCACCTGTTTTCAATCCCCTCGTTAGCCCTCTCTTTGTCTCTGTCCCCTTTAAAAGCCTCCCTCTTCAGTTCCTGTTTGCTGGATCCTCGTCTAACGTCTGTCTGCGTACCTCGTCTCTCCCTGGCTCCTAGAGTTTGGTTTTCCCCTGATGTCTCCCTGGTTCTGGTTCGTCTGTTATTTCTGTTGGATTTTTGATTCCTGCCTCAGTTCCTGTAAACCTCATTAAACCCACCTAAATTCACCTCTGCCTACTTGCCTCTGCATTTGGGTCCTCCCAACCAACATCAAACCTTGACAGGGAGATTTATTAGAGAGCCAATGTAACAAGATATTCTTACTCTTGTGTTGATTTTGGATATGTTTATTTGGTAGACCAAGGAGAAAAGACACTGGATCAAGATCAATGTTGGTTTTGATGATTTTACTAGTCTCAATCAAAATAGACTTCCAGTATGACTGGATCTTGGGGCATAACCAAAGACAGTGTGTGAGGCCGCCTTCATGTAGGTGTCCCAGGTTTAAACTTAGACACCCGGTGTGGGGCCAAGTGAGCTCTATGTAGTAATTTATGTTGCAATGCCCAGGAGCGATTACAGATAGTAATTTTTTTGGCCGAGTTCCAAATACTGCTCCACACTTCATTGGTAATCTCGATATTCAGCTCTCCTCCCCAGGCCTGGGCCAGAGTTGGTAAGTGACACTTATGACATTTTAATATTTTATAGCATATACTTAGTGACACTTCACAAGTACCAAATAACTATTTCTATATGCCCGAAACCTCTGTGTCTGAATGCTTTTTTTTATGCACTGCATATAGCTTCAATTTGTGACCAAAGTCAAATCAAGAATCTCCATAATTCTGGTCCATAATTTACTTGAGTCAAGATCCATTTATTTTAAAGAACTTTGTCTTAAAAAAATGTAATTGTAAATACAACTGAATGGCAAATATTAAAGAGATTCACAACAAATGGTTTGCAGATATTGAAATTACGATTTGAAACTTAGTGCAGCTTTACATCTAAGTATTGTGAACAGTCTCACCCTGATTCTTTATCTTGGACTGCAGCTGATTGATCCGTTCCTCCTTCTCCTGCTTCCACTTGCTATGGGCCTGTCTTTTCTCCTCAAGCTGAATATTCGGTTTCGGAGACTTGCACTTTTTCTTTTCTTTGTTTGCCGCCAAAGTGGTTCTCAGAAAATCATTGTTCTCTTTCTGTTTCTTCTCCTGCATCTTTAAATTCTCAAGGAGCACTTTATTCTCCTTCTTCAGCTCCATGCAAATTAGGTAGTATCTGTAGAAAAAAAGAAGAACATGATGTTATCCTGTTTAATTTATAGAAGGAATTTTAGAAAAAAACACTGTATGAAACTTTGAATGGATGGTATGAAGGTTAGATGTTGGGATAAGCAATGCTTTAAAACATCATGCGGAAATATGGGCGCATTTTATACTCTTCTATGTTTGTTTGAAGTGAAAGAATTAAACCTGCAATGATAGAAAAAGGTGAGGTTTGAAATTGCCAGCACCTACACCATGATTGGTTTATTGGTTATATGTTAAGCAATTATCTTATGCGCACAGTGCATTTATACATTTTTACATGTTTAAAACGAAAATAGAAATAGAATTTGGCCATTTAATGATTTAAAATATTTTCAAATCATCTACATCTATATAGCTTCATGTATTTCACATAACAGCATATGCTGTCAGATACATACAATTATTTTCTATTTAACCTAAATTAATTTAGGTTTACCAGTTCACAATATAAGCCACAAAGTTGTCTATGGTTTTAAAGATGAAAACAAAATTTTAATTCCCACACACACTTTTTTTTACTACTAAACTAACTTATTTTGCATAAATATAGAATAACTTTGCTATAGATATAGAGGCATCTTCTCTCAACATCCCGTAAACCTAAACCATGTCTGGCCGTTTCAACATCCATGGAATAACAGTATAAGAAAAGCTGAGTTTATTTTTTAAAATAAAGGTGTTTTTACTGGTTGGCACACTGCTGCTAAAATTCAATGTGGGAATAATTCTGTGTTGAACATGTGCACGCATGCATATTGGAACAATGTATGCTGATCTGATTATAGACATAATACAAGAGTTATATCATATATTACGTTATCTTTTGTGTTAAATCTATGGATCTGACAGCATATGCTGTTCTGACAGAACACCATATGTAAACATAATATCTAACATAATTTTTTTTTTTAAATGGTGAGTTAAATTCCCTTCCTGCGTTTAAATTCATACACAGCCTCATTCACTGTGTACAGAAGTACGGAAGAGGATTAGGGCCACTGAAAAAAAAAAAAAAAAAGTTAACTGATTTTTTTTTATTTTATTTCAGTATAGTATGGGGAAAAACTCAGAATTCTGACTTTTTTTATTGTCAGAATTCAGTCAGAATTCTGAGATTAAAGTCAGAATTCTGAGAAAAACGCCAGAATTCTGAGATTAAAGTCAGAATTCTGAGAGAAAAAAGTCAGAATTCTGAGATTGAAGTCAGAGTTCTGAGAGAAAAAAGTCAGAATTCTGAGATTAAAGTCAGAATTCTGAGAGAAAAAAGTCAGAATTCTGAGAAAAACGCCAGAATTCTGAGATTAAAGTCAGAATTCTGAGAGAAAAAAGTCAGAATTCTGAGATTGAAGTCGGAGTTCTGAGAAAAAAAGTCAGAATTCTGAGATTGAAGTCAGAGTTCTGAGAAAAAAAGTCAGAATTCTGAGATTAAAGTCAGAATTCTGAGAGAAAAAAGTCAGAATTCTGAGAAAAACGCCAGAATTCTGAGATTAAAGTCAGAATTCTGAGAGAAAAAAGTCAGAATTCTGAGATTGAAGTCGGAGTTCTGAGAAAAAAAGTCAGAATTCTGAGATTGAAGTCAGAGTTCTGAGAAAAAAAGTCAGAATTCTGAGAAAATTTTCCCATATTAAACTGAAATAGTATCTAAACATTTCTTCAGTGGCCCTAATCCTCTTCCCTAACTGTGTGCGCCTCTACTGTTTTGATGTTTAATTAAACAAGATTGAGTTATGTAGCTATTGTTTAGCTAAACTGTTATTTAATATTTGAAATTATTATGTAGAGTTCAGCCTTAGTTTTAAGTGTATTTAGAGTGTTTTTAATCACTCTCTATCTTGCTGATGTCATATTTGTCTCTTGTACAGCTGGATGGGTGGATATGTGAATTAGGCAATGGCACCCTATAGAAACTTCTAGAAACTTTTAAGGCAGTCTATAGTGAAATCTATGCTAAGAAGGTAATAACAATGGGAGGGGCTGCTTCTTAGACAGAGGGATTCAGATGAGGATTACGCAACACATGCTTTATACAACTTTATGCATGATTGTAATGAAGGAATTTTATTATAACATAGTTACAAGCTTTAAAAAAGTTGATTTTAGAAATATGGGCACTTTAGCATGTTGTCATAGAAACAGCAGAACACTCATACTCATCACTGTTTGTAGTGTTAGCATAACACAATGGTATCTAGTAGATTAGTTTAAGCTTTTTTTATACTCTTTTTTTCCTTTTAAAAATTTGGCCTTTGTTTAAGAAAAATAAAATCTGATCAATCTGAGTAGAAACACTTCATGAAAAAATAAAAAGACAGTTTCACCTCTCCACCTGGTCATTCAAATACTGAAGTTTGTCCATATCTGTGTGTTCTGAACTCATTTTGTCCGTCTTGGTCTCCTATTGTTTCGACTGAATGAAGTACTGTTAACTTGAAATTATTAAAACTGCAAAACTGAAAAAAAAAAACCGCTGCTGTTGTGATGCTACATTTATGGACTTCCCAAAAAATCGGACTGCACAAGACTGCCCAAAAATGTTATTTAAAATAGTGTTTAAAGACTTATCTTTACCAAACCAATGTTATCGTAATGACCAGGCATGCGGTTGTCTTTGCAACCACTACTAACTAAAAGCATTTAAGAAAATAAGACCTTAACTATCCCCCCGCAACCGTAAAAAAGGTATATTGTAATGATGTCATCAAGGTCTCATTCGAAAAATTATTACTTATGAAGAAATTACACCTTTTAAAAAACACTGTCTTTGATTTGTGGTTTTAACTTATTTGTCTAATGAATTTAGCGTTAATCAGTAAAAAAATAAATAAATAAATAAAAACTACAATTTTCGTGGTGATCAATGAGTGCGGGAGCGGCCATTTTTACCCAAATACGGTAACTCCTCACTCCTGACATCTTCCGGCAGTGACGTGACGGTGCGGTAAGCCGTGCGCCATTCTCCCCGCATTACAAGCAAAATCAATCAACTGTATTTGGAAAAACAAAACTCATTACGTAGAAAACTATATTTTAATGACATCAAATTTGGGGTTGCTATTCCAGAAATAAATATTTTACGATCACAAACAAACAACCTGTCTGTGCATTATATCAAGCCTTTGCAAGTGCCTGAATTTACACTGTGAGCGGCTGAGTCAAATACACAAGGACTCACAGGAATTATTATAATTATTAGAACTCCCCAATTTACAAAAAAACAAAACAAAAACATCCAGTTCATAGGAGGGATCAAATAAATAGAATTTAACTTGGAAAGAAATTGGAAGAGATCAGCTGATATCAGAAACAAAGCATGACTTACCTTGCAGAGGTACAAAAGGACAACAATTTTATTTTTAACATATGTCTATAAACACTTAGAAAAGATTACATCATACATACAATCAGTGCCCTTCATGCTGTTCCTCATCTCTTTCTGCTGCTATTATTCAGTCATTTCTGTTCTACCTGTTATTTTAAACACTTTTTTTCAGTCCAATATTTAAATAACCTCAAAATTACTTATATTGCATTTAAAATAATCTGTTCACCTACACCAAACATCCTAGAACTCAATGGTAGAGCAATGGTCCGCTTCCTCATAGTAAGAGTTATACACACCGAGCACCCATTCCATAACCACTTAAAGCGCTCAGAAATCAGACACTTAAATAGAGAAGGGCTGGTTTTTAAAATCTAAGCTTCCTGATAGATTTATTTTGCCATTTATTGTGCATTTGTCCTACGATCATGAACTATATTTAACATCCACGTGTATGGTCTGGATTTCCTTAACATATTAGCCTGTGCGAACAAAATTTCCCTTTATGGGCCTGAATGCCTGTAACAAATATTTATACATCTGACTAAAACCGCAAAAATTATTACAAATTGTTTAAAGCTGATATTTCAGTCAACAGGAATAGACCAGGTGAAGCTACAATAACAGGAAATAGCAGAAAAAGAACATAAAGTTATGGAACCTAAAAACACTGCAGAATACATTAGAGATAGAATGAAGCAGAATGATGAAAAGTGGTCCCCATGTCCTCCAGCAGCCTAAACATATAGCATCATAGATATATGAAAATATATAAGGATGAATGTTTTGGATGAGGTATGACAAAGGTAGAACCCAGTGTCTTTCCCTGATGGGGCCACCTGAGGAGCTAGTTTACAGGTACCTTTTGTACCTGTGCTTCTGTGTCCTGAAACCTCAGTTATCCTTGGCTGAAGGCCGCTCACACTGAGCCTGGTTCTGCTGGAGGTTCCTTCCTCTTTAAAGGAAGTTTTTCTTTTCCGTCACTCTCTGCGTGCTTGGTGTGAGGGATTGCTGAAGGGTCAACGACAAAAATGCATGCAAAAATCATTGCTCCAAGCTCATCCAGTAGGACTGTGTCTTGCAAGTTAATGACCTGATGCAATCAACTGGTTTTCCTTGACTGAAACTTTGAACCAATCTGACTGTATGATCTGGTTTAATTGTCTCCCTAAAGTGCCTTGCAATTACATCTGTTGTGAATTGGCACTATATAAATGAACTTAATCAAATTATGTTTAAAATTCAAAGAGGTGTTTTTTTACTACTTTTGAAAAGCTTTGCAAAATATTTTTCTTTAGCAACATAAAGTATTTCTGCTCATAAACTGTCAAAGTTTTATCAGAACCCTTTTCTTATGGAACTTTAATTTTTCAGCACATCAAAGCAAGACTCACACAAGTTTTAATTAAAATCAGTTTTATTAACAACATATTGTGCAAATTGCAAAACCATGTAGAAACAGCGATCTTAACTTATTACAAACATCAATTAGATGAAAGGAAGAAACAGAGACAAAGAGAACAAATATTTACCCATTAAATTAGTAACAAGTTATTAGATTCTGTTGATTATAAATCTCTGGAAAAAAAAATTATTAAGTGTATTCTGTACCTCATTACGAAAGTATTAAATATGCAGGAACAGGGTTTGTAACATAATTGAAACTGCTATAGTATTCTTTTTTTTAAAACAAATTTTCAAACACCTTATGTGCACCTCAAACTTGAGCTGCTTTTCCATTTAGTTTCAGCACCTATAAGCTGACTTGTGTATAAGTTTGCATCTATGGCTCCTGTGCATGTGTGTTTGCAGCTGTCTCAGCGTGTCTGGGTGAAGATTGCTGATCCACCAACATCTCAGCATGCTTTAAGTACTGGGCCGTCCTTCTCATCACAGACTCCCTGCGAACTGGATCTGGGTCTCCTGCAGCATATGAAAAAGAATAGAATATTTTCATCAAAAAATTTATTCTTTTGAAATCAGATCAATTATTTTTTGATTTAGCTGAAAGAAAAAACTTTTTTGGCAGCAGTGGGATTCGAACCCACGCCCCCGAAGAGACTGGAGCCTTAATCCAGCGCCTTAGACCGCTTGGCCACGCGTAGACAGCTGCCTGATAAGATTGTGACACTGTACTGACTTGACTTGTTATGAATGAGTCACTGTGGAAGGCGTGTTCATGTTAAAAATGTCCTACTTGTTTCTACCTGACCTTAATATTGTAACTCTTTTTTTTGTTTGTTTTATTCATTGTTTTTGGTCAAGAAAGACAACTTATCCATTAAAATCAGCATAAAACATGACAACACAACCTTCATTTTAAGAAAAAGGATTTATATACTTCATTAATTGATTTATATTTACTTTTTAAACCAATTGAAGCGTTTTGAAAAACAAATGAAAGAATTTGTAAATTCAATTAATAGCAGGTTAATATACTATATATAGTGGTAATGTGGAATGAAAGGGAACTTGGCTCCACTGTAAGGGAAAGTACAGGGTCCAGCGTTGCAGCAATGCATGCTTGGATCAATACAACACTCACAAAAAGGCTGATAAAGTGCTTACACATAAAAGGTTAGTACTTCAATTTAATATAGTCCTCTTCACAGGTCTGGTTTAATGCAAATGTCATAATCTAAATTAGTAGGCATGTTTTATTGGGTCTTCATCTGTATACTGCTATTTGTTGTGACAGAAGATATCAAACCAGAATATCACTGAGTCTCTATGGTTTGGATATTATCAAAAAAACAAATTTATTCAAACAAGATATTGAGTGATATAGGTTGATTAGAAACAGATAAGTGAATAAAATAGCTAAATCCAGCTTTTCTGAAACCTACAGTAAACCCATAAAAAGTTGATGTTAGTAAGGGACGGTATGGTGAATGCGGAGGACCCCTAAACATTGTTAGAAAAGAAGATGGGTGTTCACAGAGTGCTGCATTAAAATACAATCTTTAAGAGCTTAGCTTAAGGAAGCAGGCTCGAGAAAATAATAGAGCAAGGCTCAAACATGACTTTGAGGGTGATATTCAAGGTGTGGACTGCAGGTGGAGCCAGAGTTTCAAGAACCAGCAGCATCAGATGCAGCACATGATCCATGTTGCTGGATGAGTTTGGGTTCTGTGTGGTGTTTTTTAGGACACTTTTAAGAATTTCATTCTTCATTCTGATAACAGAGGAAGATTCTGGTTTCATTTTCCTGCAGCTTCCCATCATACCAAAGCTACCAAGACCAAAGCTACCTCAGGACCATTAGCTAAACACTTCCAGATAACTGGAAGTGTTTAACTAATGGTCCCGAGATTCATGTTATGTGGGTGTATTCAAACTATGTAACATGGAGCCCTTAGCTACTCTTCAAAATGAGAAAGACAAGAAAACATCCAGTAAGGCAGATGTCACAAAGTAGAAAAAAGACAATAGCTACTAATCGTAACTTTCTCATATTTACAGTCAAAAGTAATAATTAAAACATTTAAAGCAACTAGTACTGTGACAAACAATGCTGGGCAAAATGATATATGATGTATGATAAATAGTCCCTCTCATGTACTATGCCTTTAAAAAACTGAACAAACACCAAAGACTGTATGATCATGCAGAAATAAAGCAGTATAGATTAATTGATGGTCCTGATATTGTTTAAAAATTCATTTTTAAGGCTGAAAATCATTTTTGCACTGGTTTGATCAGTGGACATAAACATTATGTACACCTCTGCCATCTGCTGGCAGTACTTACTCTCATATCCATCAACTTGGTATCTTCAGCAGCATTAGCTTCTGCTTCAGTAAGCACAAACGTTCATAATGTATTTTCAGTGCTAATCGTGTCCTATCTGTCTTTGCATCCAATATTTTGGTCTTGAACTATTCCTCTTCTTTGAGCACCTCTACTGGGGGGATGCTAACTTGCCTTGCTCCATTACTTATTAAATGAGGGAAGGTCACATGAACAATATTATACCTCCCATTACCTCTTGGTGCTAAATGCTAAATACCGTAAACAATTAAGCTTACTAACAAATGAACCAAAAGTGAAGCTTAAAAAAAGCAGAAATTAGTAATAATAAGCCAATAGGGAGCCATAATTCAAAAAGGTTTTGTATAAAACCAGAGAGGTACAAGAATAGACAGGAACACTTTAAAGGAGGTAAAAATTATAAAAATCTTGGTAATTAAAGCATATTTGAGCTAAATTAGCCAGATGAAGTGAAAAGTGCTTTTTCCTATTTGTTTGAAGATTACTAATGTATATAAAAGTAAAACTTTAAATCCAAAAAACTTATTTGTCTAATTATAAAAGAATTAACTGCTCAAGATTTAATAAGCTCAACGACAAAATGAATTCAGCTTAATCAAACTAAAGCTGACTGTAATTTCACGTTTAGAAAAACAAAAAAAACATGATTTATTACTTAAGAAGAATTTTTAAAAGCCCAATCAAACTTAAACTGTGCAGAAGGCAGCACAGAGAACATCACATATAAAGCAGCAAAATGAGAACCTTGCTGGGTTATCTATCAGTTAGTAGATAGAAATGGAAGACAAAACATCCAGAATGCTGTATCACTTACTGTTCTTCCACGTGTTTCAGTGAGCCTCTGATTGTGAATACCTGGTATATTTAGTAGTATTATTGGAGTAAAAGGAAGGTCAATCATACAAGAGCTTGATTTTAAAAGCTCTGCTGTTTTCTTTTTGCAGATGGACAAAGAGACCTTATACTGTAGCTTCATACAGCTAGTCTAGAAGCTTTAGTAACGAAGTTAAGACGTTACCCTTGACTCCAGTGATCAGTATGTCCACCGCTGTCCTGTATCCTTTAATGGCAGAGCTTAACTCTCCCTCCTTCTCCCTCTCCACAGCTGCCGTCAACTCCTTGGCGGCTTGGTTTAGGTAAGCAACGTCTCCACCGATCAGACTGGCCGGAGGCAGTGAGAATAGTTCAGAGTGGTCAATTGAGGAATCCGTTTTCTCTGTGACAGAATGAAAAAAAAAAACTTTATTTCAGAGTTAAAGAGATAGCAGATGTGAAAATAATCTGGTGTTTTTTTAAATGAGATTTAAACTTCCAACATCAAGAAAAATTGGTTATGAAAGCATTGTTTTGTTTCATCATCAGTCCTGTATAAATGTTTTGAACCACCTCGCTTTCAAATGGACAGAGTGTTTTGTGATATTTCTAAGTGGTTTAGATCAAAGCCTCTTCATGTTCTCTTAGAAAAACAGTTCCAGAATTTTACTGCTTTTTTAAAAATCAACTTTTTAACCATATTCGTCTTTTTTTTTTAAGTTAAGCCAATAGTCAACCAACAACAGAAAGCCTATTCAATCCAGAGCTTTTTTAGTGTTTTTATTTATCGTTTGATAAATCTAAAGCAAATCTGCTCCATCTTTCTATCAAGAATATTGCTTATCTCCATAGTCTTCAGAACCTCCACATCAAGAGGGAATCATAACAATAAGCCAATATTTACTGCAAACATTGCAGGTTTCTGTACCTCAACAATTATCAGTCTCAGCTATAGTGTCAGTGTTTTTGCAGCTAATAAGCAACATGCAAAGTTGAAAATTAGTTTTTTTTAATTTGTTCAGGTATCAGTGTTCAGTCAAGTCTACCAAAACATAAAATAATAATCTGAGGGAGTGAATGTGGGCTGCAGTTTGTAGCACTGTTGCCTGGTAGGAAAACGGTCCTTGGTCTGACTTCTGACCTGGGACATTTCTGCATGGAGTGTGTATGTTCTCCTAGTACTCCAGTTTCCTCACACAGTGATTGAATGTTAGGTTAATTGGTGTCTATAAATAGTACTTAAGTTTGTATGCATGGTTATAAGACTTAGTGTATCATTATAGGCTAATCACAGGTAAAAATGCTTTTACTTTTTGTCAACTCTAATCCCTCAGCATTCTAGGAACCTGTGTATGGGCAATTTGGAGGTATGTGTACTTTTCTCCAGTCAGCAACTCTAATTCAAAGTCGACCCAGCAAACAGAAATGTATTCATTGACATGGAGATTATGGTTGGGTGCAGCTGCTATGGGAGGTGTTGCTGCTAACCTTGGGAATGTGATAACGCAGCCTTGGAATGACTTTAGCGTGGAAAAGGTGCAGAAACATTCCATATATAGGTTATCACCGCAACTACAACGATCCTCCAAATTCTACCCAGATGAAGAGGAAGTACTACTTTCTTTTTTTAAATAGAATGTTGGACAAGAAGGATAAAAAAAAATAAAAAAAAATCAACTAAATAGAGGGTGACCACAATACATTTCTAAATAATATAGTTTAAACCACCTTGTTTAAAGCAGGGATCAAAGACAGCCAAGTCATTTTCAGACAGAGGAGGGGGTCTCTCTTCCTTAGGGGACGGGATGTGCTCTTCCACCACTGAGTCAAACAATGAATCAAATTCTTCCTGCGTCTCCTCTGACTGGTGGTGTGTTGTTAGTGTTGGTTCAGGGGAGGATACTGGAGGTGGAAAATGGACAATAAGGTATGATGAATGAGAGGGAGGGGGGAGAGAGAGGGAGAGAGGGATAGAGAGAAAGAAAAAAAGATACGTTCCTTGACTTATACCTCCATTATCCAGTTCTGTATCACTAAGGCCATCTTGGTCATCTTCTGTCAGAGAGCCTACGATCTCATTAAAGGCCTCAGCAGCCACCTCTGGTTCCCCAATCTCCAAGCTGATGTTGGTGCCTAAGTCTTGCGGTAAGGTGGGAGCCTCCCTCCCCTCCTCCTCTTCAGCAGGTTCACAGTCTGAGGCCCTCCTCTTTGGCAGGGGGATTAGTGGGGGAGGCAGAGGCCCGGCTGAGGACACAGGCGAGGGATCCAAAGGCCTCGTGACTTCACCACCCTGAAGTTATAAAGAAGAAAGAGGAGGAAAGAGATGGTACGGAAACAAAGGGAGGTTTTAGGTTTTGTGGATAAAAAAGAAAAAGAAATTAAGTAAACACTTATCCCATTTACACTACCCTTGAAAAACCGATCCATGCTGAGGCCGGTCCGAGCTCGGATCAGTTAACCAGGCCCAGCTCGGTTCTGACGACCGTTTACACATCACTTTATCTCGGTTCCTCGACTCCTCGCCTCCTAAAGACGATCTGCGGTATTACTGCCAGTACTGAACGAGGAAATCAAGCTGTTGGTGGCGGTAATGCACCAAAAGTTGTTTGCCAACCGCCATAATACACATGAAGAAGAAGATGAAAAAGGAAGGGAATCAAGCAAACCAAAATGTTGCGTGGAGAAGATTTCGAGTGTTGTTTATAGTTGTTGTTCTTCTTCTGTTTTGTGTTGGTTGGCAAGCAACGTCCGGAGCGGCATTACCGCCAACAACTGGAATGGAGTGTGAATCGGGATGTGCAGCTAGACGGAGATGACGCGTTCTGCTCATGCGCTCTGGTTATCAGAGAACCGAGCCAGGGAAAAACCGAGCTGAGCCCACCTCTGGAACTGGTCTGCAGTTAGCTCGGTTCGGTTGTTTCTAGCTCGGTTCAGTTCAGTTTGCTTTCCATTTACACACGATAAGTTATCTCAGTTACTGAGCTCGGACCGGTCACAGCACGGTTGTTGAAGGGTACTGCAAATGGGGTAACTATTTGCACAGGGTGTTCTGAGTCCCTATTCTTACTCGGAAGAACTCCTTTAGCTGCGGGCTGTTGTAGAGTGCAGGAATGTTGGTAGTGAATAGAAGCATGCTCTCAGCTGCCTTCCTCCTCTCCTCAATCACAGCTTCATCAAACCTTCCTAAAATAAACACACACAATGTGGTAATGAAGCAGGTTATGGTGCTGGTAATGCTTTGAATAAAAAGGCTTGGCATTAAAACAGACAGAAACACTTCATTATGCAGTTTGACTCATGATCCAGCTGATTAGGAAGTTTGATCAGTCCCAAAAATCTTTCCAATAAATTTGTAAATTTTGTCATGTGGATACATTTTCACAATTTAACCAAAATATAACATTGTTGAGATAGAAGATAAGATTGTGTTCTATATGTCTTATCTCATCAAGAATTTGCACAGGGATGGTAGTGGCAGAACCATGCAGAGGGCCTGTCTTCAAACTGGTTTTACTTGTGCTTTAGACAAGGTGTGGAATTACGGAAAAACAACTGTGTCATATTGTTTAAATTCACCTCAAACCAACAGTTTCATGGCTTTTAGTTGGACGAAAATAGGTCCTTTAATTAGAAATTAGAGCATAATTTAACTATGTTGATGAGTCCATCTTCTGATGATTTCCTTTAGCTAACCAATAATTGTTTGCATTATATAACTCATCCAACAACACTAGTTTTCACTAGATGTGGATGGCACCAATGATCTGCATTAGATGATTAGATTAGATTAGATTAGATGAGCTTTATTGATCTCACAGTGGAGAAATTTACTGGTCACATATTGCACTAGTAATTAAAGAAGGTGCAGATGGCGCACATGACGTGAAATAAATATTTATAAACATTAAACTGAAGCCAAGAGTAACGAGTAATGTTGGTTTTAAAAATGTAAGGAATAAAAAGTACAGATATTTTTGTGAAAATTTAATGAGTAGAAGTCAGAAGTAAACTAAAGCTGACTGTAATTTCACGTTTAGAATAACAAAAAAACATGATTTATTACTTAAGAAGAATTTTAAAAGCCCAGTCAAACTTAAACTGTGCATAAGGAAGCACAGAGAACATCACATATAAAGCAGCAAAATGAGAACCTTGCTGGGTTATCTTTCAGTTAGTAGGTAGAAAATGGAAGACAAAACATCCAGAATGCTGTATCACTTACTGTTCTTCCACGTGTTTCAGTGAGCCTCTGATTGTGAATACCTGCTATATTTAGTAGTATTATTGGAGTAAAAGGAAGGTCAATCATACAAGAGCTTGATTTTAAAAGCTCTGCTGTTTTCTTTTTGCAGATGGACAAAGAGACCTTATACTGTAGCTTTTTACAGCTAGTCTAGAAGCTTTAGTAACGAAGTTAAGATGTTACCCTTGACTCCAGTGATCAGTATGTCCACCGCTGTCCTGTATCCTTTAATGGCAGAGCTGAACTCTCCCTCCTTCTCCTTGTCCACAGCTGCCGTCAACTCCTTGGCAGCTTGGTTTAGGTAAGCAACGTCTCCACCGATCAGACTGGCCGGAGGCAGCGAGAATAGTTCAGAGTGGTCAATTGAGGAATCTGTTTTCTCTGTGACAGAATGAAAAGAAAAAAAAAAAAACTTTATTTCAGAGTTAAAGAGATAGCAGATGTGAAAATAATCTGGTGTTTTTTTAAATGAGATTTAAACTTCCAACATCAAGCAAAATTGGTTATGAAAGCATTGTTTTGTTTCATCATCAGTCCTGTATAAATGTTTTGAACCACCTCGCTTTCAAACGGACAGAGAGTTTTGTGATATTTCTAAGTGGTTTAGATCAAAGCCTCTTCATGTTCTCTTAGAAAAAGAGTTCCAGAATTTTACTGCTTTTTAAAAATAAACTTTTTACCATATTCGTCTTTTTTTTTTTAAGTTAAGCCAATAGTCAGTTATTGTTTTAATTTATCGTTTGATAAATCTAAAGCAAATCTGCTCAATCTTTCCATCAAGGAAATCACTTGTCTCCATAGACCTTAGAACCTCCACAGCAAGAGGGAATCATAACAATAAGCCAATATTTACGGCAAACATTGCAGGTTTCTGTACCTCAACAATTATCAGTCTCAGCTATAGTGTCAGTGTCTTTTGCAGCTAATAAGCAACATGCAAAGTTGAAAATTAGTTTTTTTTAACTTGTTCAGGTATTAGTGTTCAGTCAAGTCTCACAAAAAAATAGCATACTAATAATCTGAGGGAGTGAATGTGGGCTGCAGTTTGTAGTACTGTTGCCTGGTAGACATGTTGCTGACCTGGGAAATTTTTGCATGGAGTTTGTATGTTCTCCTAGTATTCCAGCTTTATCCCACAGTGATTTATTTATTTATTTGGTTAAGTGGTGTCTCTAAATAGTACTTAAGTTTGTATGCATGGTTGTAAGACTTAGTGTATCATTATAGGCTAATCACAGGTAAAAATGCTTTTACTTTTTGTCAACTCTAATCCCTCAGCATTCTAGGAACCTGTGTATGGGCAATTTGGAGGTATGTGTACTTTTCTCCAGTCAGCAACTCTAATTCAAAGTCGACCCAGCAAACAGAAATGTATTCATTGACATGGAGATTATGGTTGGGTGCAGCTGCTATGGGAGGTGTTGCTGCTAACCTTGAGGGAATGTGATAACGTAGCCTTGGAATGACTTTAGCGTGGGAAAGGTGCAGAAACATTCCACATATAGGTTATCACCGCAACTACAACGATCCTCCAAATTCTACCCAGATGAAGAGGAACTACTACTTCCTTTTTTAAAAATAGAATGTTGGACAAGAAGGATAAAAAAAAATCTACTAGATAGATGGTGACCACAATAAAATTCTAAATTATATAGTTTAAATCACCTTGTTTAAAGCAAGGATCGAAGACAGCCAAGTCATTTTCAGACAGAGGAGGGGGTCTCTCTTCCTTAGGGGACGGGATGTGCTCTTCCACCACTGAGTCAAACAATGAATCAAATTCTTCCTGCGTCTCCTCTGACTGGTGGTGTGTTGTTAGTGTTGGTTCAGGGGAGGATACTGGAGGTGGAAAATGGACAATAAGGTATGATGAATGGGAGGGAGGGGGGAGAGAGAGGGAGAGAGGGATAGAGAGAAAGAAAAAAAGAAAGAAAGAAAGACATGCTCCTTGACTTATACCTCCATTATCCAGTTCTGTATCACTAAGGCCATCTTGGTCATCTTCTGTCAGAGAGCCTACGATCTCATTAAAGGCCTCAGCAGCCACCTCTGGTTCCCCAATCTCCAAGCTAATGTTGGTGCCTAAGTCTTGCGGTAAGGTGGGAGCCTCCCTCCCCTCCTCTTCTTCAGCAGGTTCACAGTCTGAGGCCCTCCTCTTTGGCAGGGGGATTAGTGGGGGGGGCAGAGGCCCAGCTGAGGATACAGGCGAGGGATCCAAAGGCCTCGTGACTTCACCACCCTGAAGTTATAAAGAAGAAAGAGGAGGAAAGAGATGGTACGGAAACAAAGTGAGATTCTAGGTTTTGTGGAATAAAAAGAAAAAGAAATTAAGTAAACACTTATCCCATTTACACTACCCTTGAAAAACCGATCAATGCTGAGACCGGTCTGAGCTCGGATCAGTTAACCAGGCCCAGCTCGGTTCTGACGACCGTTTACTCATCACTTTATCTCGGTTCCTCGACTTCTCGCCTCCTAAAGACGATCTGCGGTATTACTGCCAGTATTGAACGAGGAAATCAAGCTGTTGGTGGCGGTAATGCACCAAAAGTTGTTTGCCAACCGCCATAATACACATGAAGAAGAAGATGAAAAAGGAAGGGAATCAAGCAAACCAAAATGTTGCGTGGAGAAGATTTCGAGTGTTGTTTATAGTTGTTGTTCTTCTTCTGTTTTGTGTTGGTTGGCAAGCAACGTCCGGAGCGGCATTACCGCCAACAACTGGAATGGAGTGTGAATCGGGATGTGCAGCCAGACGGAGATGACGCGTTCTGCTCATGCACTCTGGTTATCAGAGAACCGAGCCAGGGAAAAACCGAGCTGAGCCCACCTCTGGAACTGGTCTGCAGTTAGCTCGGTTCGGTTGTTTCTAGCTCGGTTCAGTTCAGTTTGCTTTCCATTTACACACGATAAGTTATCTCAGTTACTGAGCTCGGACCGGTCACAGCACGGTTGTTGAAGGGTACTGCAAATGGGGTAACTATTTGCACAGGGTGTTCTGAGTCCCTATTCTTACTCGGAAGAACTCCTTTAGCTGCGGGCTGTTGTAGAGTGCAGGAATGTTGGTAGTGAATAGAAGCATGCTCTCAGCTGCCTTCCTCCTCTCCTCAATCACAGCTTCATCAAACCTTCCTAAAATAAACACACACAATGTGGTAATGAAGCAGGTTATGGTGCTGGTAATGCTTTGAATAAAAAGGCTTGGCATTAAAACAGACAGAAACACTTCATTATGCAGTTTGACTCATGATCCAGCTGATTAGGAAGTTTGATCAGTCCCAAAAATCTTTCCAATAAATTTGTAAATTTTGTCATGTGGATACATTTTCACAATTTAACCAAAATATAACATTGTTGAGATAGAAGATAAGATTGTGTTCTATATGTCTTATCTCATCAAGAATTTGCACAGGGATGGTAGTGGCAGAACCATGCAGAGGGCCTGTCTTCAAACTGGTTTTACTTGTGCTTTAGACAAGGTGTGGAATTACGGAAAAACAACTGTGTCATATTGTTTAAATTCACCTCAAACCAACAGTTTCATGGCTTTTAGTTGGACGAAAATAGGTCCTTTAATTAGAAATTAGAGCATAATTCAACTATGTTGATGAGTCCATATTCTGATGATTTCCTTTAGCTAAACAATAATTGTTTGCATTATATAACTCATCCAACAACACTAGTTTTCACTAGATGTGGATGGCACCAATGATCTGCATTAGATGATTAGATTAGATTAGATTAGATGAGCTTTATTGATCTCACAGTGGAGAAATTTACTGGTCACATATTGCACTAGTAATTAAAGAAGGTGCAGATGGCGCACATGACGTTAAATAAATATTTATAAAAGTTAAACTGAAGCCAAGAGTAACGAGTAATGTTGGTTTTAAAAATGTAAGGAATAAAAAGTACAGATATTTTTGTGAAAATTTAATGAGTAGAAGTCAGAAGTAGGAAGAAAAATAAGTAATGGAGTAAAGTATAGATACCTAAAAGTGTCCTTAAATACAGTACTTGACACCTATGCTAAAAATAATTGAAAAATTAAGAATGTTCAAACAGCGATAAATACATTTTAATAAAAAATATAGCTAAAAAACACCTAAAATGTTTGCAGGCAAATAACAGGTGAAACACAAGCTTTGTATTGTATCAGTGGTAGCACCGATTTTGCTAACTTTCTAGAGTCGCTTATCTATTTGTTATTACACTAGCAGTAGTGAAGATAACCAGATGACTAGACTTAATGCAGCTTTTTTTCAACAAACCAAAAACTTGTGCTCTTGGGAAAGCAGGAAACTCCTCCTGTCGTCTGAACAAGTTCCTATGAGTGTATGCCAGCTCTCCATGGAGCTTCTTCAGCTCGGAGAACCTCTTCCATACCACCACCTCCTTCACATCTTCAGGATGACGCTTGGACACAAACTACAAAACAACAATGAGGGACAGAAATAGATTTTTTTATAGACCATTATTTGATTAAACATGTCTGCAGAGAGCTGCCTTCCTGAAGTCAGTGGAAAAATGATGTAAGCTTAAATCCCCACAGGGGAGGCATTCAGGCTGCTGGAACACATGACACACCAGTCCTGTCTGTGTTTCCCTCCAGCAAAACCTGAAAATATAAACACTCATTGTGCATTCGCCCTTACATCTACACAAGTTTCTGACTTCACATAAAATAAATGAACTTGTTTTGGTTTTGATTGCAAAAACAAACAATACAAAAAAATGAATAACCTAGAAATGTATTAAGTATTTTAACTGTAACCAATAACCAAACGACGATAAAGAGTCATAACTAACCCTGGCTGTCACTTTGTATTCCGTGTGGCCCTTCTCGTGGGTCCGTGGGTCAGATACAGAGAAGAACCTGTGATATTCTTCTTTAAGTTTTCGTGACATGTCCTAAGATAGATAAATAAATAAACGTCAACACGAAGTGAGACGATGAGGGAAAAGGGTTGCAGGAGCTGCTCTGTTGTGATTCTTCACTCACTGCGGACGTTTCCTGGTTCGTGACGTATTCTAATGCGTGCTTACGTAAAGAAGAGGAGACGACCGTTCCGCTTACAAGCCAGCCATGTTTTGAGTGGCAAGTTCCCCCTGGAATCAAACGCTCACTTTGATTATTTTGAATATAGGGTGCTCATGTTAACTTTTATTTCTTATTGTGATGATTTAGAAGTGAAGTCAAATTGCGTATTTTAAACTCGAAACTTAAAATGATCCTTATCACGAAAATTATTATATGGATTGGACGTAAGTAAGCCCAGTTGTTCATGTGGTTTTGTCTTTGATGTCAGTAGTCTTGGTAAAATTAAAGTCGATGAAACTCATTGTAGTTAGTGTCTATAACCTCGATGTAGTAATTTATTTTTGCATCCAGAACTACCACACAGAACAGGTTCTGAAAGCTAATAAACTACTATCAATAATGTATATTTATGTATTTATTTATATATTTGCTTATATATTTATTTATACTGGTTGTAATTCAAATCTCTTCAGATAGTAGTGCCATTTAGGATCCTCTAGGGGGCGATATCCAAAAAGCTACAGTAAAAGCAGAACGTAAACGAGGGTTGAATGTCGAAATGAAAGAAATAGAAGTTCTCGTTCATTTTTGCATTTCTTGGTTCTTTTTACTGACTTGACTACAGTAAGTCTATGTTTATATGTCTAAAAATAAACACATTCTATACATCAGAGGAGATGCAAACGAGGAAACCAAGCAGTCTTCTTGAGTATCCCCGGTTAGACACAATAGAACAAAGAGATCAAGAACAGACAACTTCAACTGTGCGGAACCTCCAACAATGAATGTTGTGTAACACATAACCTTATCAGCATTCCCAAAGTGTCCATGTAGTAAAAGCAGCAGAACTGGCTTCTCCCTGACAGACTCATAAATTAATTCAACCTGATAAAATATGTTATATTTCCTCAGAATCAAAGTCTTTTTTATGAGAGATTATCTCTAACAGACAGTACGTCAAAGGTCTGTCTTCATCGATACAGCTGCTGCTCTCATTGCCTGTTAAATTGAAAGGAAAATGTGTAACAGGCGCAAATGAGGTAAATGTTTAATCTGAGGTCCAGCTGCCCCCTGGTGAAATGAACTGTGAAAAAGAGCGAATGAGCTGGCGTTGCCGTGCAATATATCAACTCTTTACAAAATAGCAGAGGATGGTTTCGATCCATCGACCTCTGGGTTATGGGCCCAGCACGCTTCCGCTGCGCCACTCTGCTGACGGGTCTGTGCAGTAGAAAGGAAGAATAAATTATTGTACCGACTCTCTTCAGTTCACAGCAAGGGGCTTCTTACATAACGTGTAGCCATTGTTTGCAGGGCAGTTACATAAAGAGGAGCTCAAAGGGGTTGCGAGGATTTAAAGAGGCTCAACACATGCATACTGAATAAACCACTTACTGCTAAGAGACTTCTTACAGTGCCTAACCAATGTATTCACACCCCTTCCACTCTTGTTATTTGCTTTCACGTTTTCTTAGATTATAAAAATACATTTTGACATATTTTATTTGCATTTTATGTGATATATTGACAAAATTGTGTGCCTTTTTGTGCTTTTTTATCTGAAAATAAAAGTGGCTTCTTTATGTACACTATGTTGCTGCTATTTTCATTGTTTAAGGTGTTTATTTGCTGTTTGGAAAATGCTATTTTCAAATATCCATTATCGAAAAAATGTCCATAGCTGTATATTGGTTGTAAAATGACACATTATTTTATTTTTTCCTTTCACATATATGCTTTACTTTGTGTTGTACAATGACATCAAACCCCAATAAACTATTTTCAAATTTCTGGTTGTAACATCACAAAGCGTAAAAAGGTTCAAGAGGTATGACTATTTGCGAAATACAGGGTATGTAGAATGACATAACTCTGCACAACGGATTTCTTTATAAGTTCCTTGGCATAGTTTTATAAGGAATGTGAACAGATGAGGTGACCTAAATAGGTTAATAGGCTAGACTTCCTGTGAGAGAAAACTGGGACACTTTTAAGCTAATAAAAAACAACGGATGAAAATGTTTTATTTTGAAACAAACATGATAAGTTGAGAAACATATTTCAGCCATGGGTTAATAAACACCTACAATAAAGAAGTCATATCAGTGAATTATACATAAAGGGCTGCAGCACACAACTCAAAGTCCAAGACTAAATTATTTGTATAATAGGAACTTCCAAAATTCTGCACAGCGATCTAATTTTACCTCTTATTTACATTTTGAATCACAAGCATATTGTATAGATTGGCTGGATTTTAGATGGGTCAAGAGTTGCAAAAAAAGGAAAGGACTTTTAGCAAACCCCTTAGTATTTATAGTGTGCTGACACCGAATCAGTTAATTGTTTCAAATACAGCTATCTGTAGGTAGGGTGTCTGAATATCAGTGAGATGAAAAGCATGCATCCTCAGACAGACTGGTCTGAACTGGTCCAGGATTGTTTTGCTTCACTCTGCGTTTTTCTTTTTTCCATCGAGGTCATTCCGTCTCACAAAACAAACTCCCTCTCTCTGGGGATCAGACTCGGATTTATTGAGGCGGCATCTCTGCCTGTCTGACTATGTTTAATCAACTCTAGAAACTCTCAGAGTTCTTTCAGTTTTGAAAGGTTGAAATAAGCACTACTCATTTCCTCATTTTTATTTTGCTTTATTTGGTCTTTTTTTTTTCCCCCTTTCTTTTTATAGCAGCAGTGGGATGTTTTGTGCTTGTGGAGGCTCACTCCCTAACCAGATGTGTTGTACAATGTACAAATATACTGTACCTGGCATTAAAGTAGAGAAAACAGGAATTTCTTCCCTGCAGCTTTGACCTAGTTTTCCTTTGTTTGTTCAGATGAACTCAAACTTTAGTGAATTGATACCTTTAACTCTTTTCCCACCACAACCTTTAAGAAAAAACATGACTACATGAGCTCATCTCCATCTGTTTGGATCAAGTTTCAGAAAACATGAGTGAAAACATCAGTGTGTTTTCCATTCTTAACATCACTTTAATATTTTCTTCCTCTTCTTCTCATAAACATGTTTACATCTTCACGTTTAGTTTTTACTGTATGCCCTTTCCCCTTATTCTCCAAACTCCTCCCCTTCGTCTTACTTCCACTGACACGGCATATTTTTTCCTCCCTGTTTTCGTTTCAACATATTTCCTGCTGTTCCACTCCGCTGCCTTGAAAGATGACAAAAATTAGTGACAAAAATAAAGACCATTTGCCATTCCATTTCTTGCACCATGTCCTGCAGATCAACAGCACACTGTGCTCACATCAGTCAGCAGCTCTGCTACAACCCAACTCTGTGTACATGTGATCATCACGCAGAGATAAAAAGAGAACAGATGGTGGGACTGAGTGGAGAGAGAAGTCCATGAGTATCTGTTTGTCTCAACTGATCATGTTAAAACCAAACATGTCAGTTTTCTTGACCAACAGTTTATGTGTTGCATTATTGTGATGTGAAAGGGAAAGGATTTGTGGTTTTCATTTTTCCCTAAGATTAAAAAAATTGAAAAGTGTGCTTTTGCATGATTCTTTGACTGATCCATTTGCACAAATGGCATTTTCCTTTTGATTGAATGTTTAGTGTAATTGTCCCACTGGAAGGTAGACCTCCACCTACAGTGTTTAAAACCTTCAATCCTCCTGCAGGTCTCAGCAGGACCTTGAAAAACGAATTCATGCATTCATCTTTAGTAGAATCTATGCTGCAGCAGTGTCTTCATACAGTAGGTTTCCCTAAAAAAAATTAATCTGATCCAAGACACTGCATGCCAGTGTCCTCACTTGAACTGAGAAAGTAGAGCACATCAGCCCAGTTCTGAAGTCCTTCAACTGGCTCCCTGTAGCTCAGAGAATAGACTTTAAAATCCTTCTGTTAGTCTATAAATCACTGAATGGATCAGCACTCCATCACATATCAGATTTGTTTCCAGTGCATCAACCTCCCAGACCACTCCGATCTTCTAATCCAAGCCTACTCTGTAAACCCAGAACTAGAACCAAACATGGAGAAACAGCAATTAGTTCCTATGCTTCACTTATTTGGAACAAACTACCAGAAGACTGTAAAAGTGCTGAAAGCCTGAGCTCTTTTGAGTCAAAAAACTCATTAGCTCAGAGCTGCCTTTGACAGTTGAAGTTAAACTTTTAACTAAGCTATTATTAGTTTAAGTTTGCAGTCCAACTGTTACCTGATTTTATTGTGTTTTTATCTTTTACTGCCTTTTATTCTTTTCATTTTGCTTCTATTTTACTAAATCATTAATGTACTGCACTTTAAATGGTGTTGTACTGGATTGTGCTATACAAATAAAACACCTCATCAACCTCATACATTCCTTGCGGTTCTGGTGCTGGTCGATTACATAAATCTTCTAGGAAACCTCTGAGGCCTTCACAGAACAGCTGGATTTATACAGGGACATACTATGCTGGTGCCGGAACACAGTTATTTGCACCAGATGTTTTTGCAGAGCGCATCCAAGTTAGGAGGTCTGGACATTTTTAGAAATTGTTAGAAAGCATGAAGCAGTTTTGTTCAAATCCTAACAACGTACTGCTCTGTAGTGGTCTGTCACAGATATTACCAGTAAACAATATTTAGGGTTGATCCAGTTTATAACAAGCAGAAGATCCTTTTTGCCAACAGCTTTTAACATCCCACTAATTATGATGGTTTATAACAACACTTGGCAAAGGTTTTAGTCCTGGAAATAATGACATTTACTCTGGATCAAGTTCCTAATTCCTAGTACGGCTCAGTACTGAAACACTCTCTGAGGGCTAACTTAGGTGATTAAATGCTGCTGTGTAACAGGGACCAAAATAGATTTGCAAGCGTTTTAGCCAAGACCCCTACAGACATTCTGACATAGTGCTGAATGAGAAGCTGCATTGCAAATTTACTGTATACCCTTCTACCTGATGGATATGTGGGTCAACTGGAATTTAATCTATGTGTGATACTAATTTTAAAAA